TTACTTATAAACATCTATCTGGTAAGTCCAAGGGTTTGTGTCTCTTTGGTCTTCTCACTTCCATACTATTGTCCAGTAGGAAATTTATAACCACTTTAAATGCCTATCACTACACTTTTTTATTTCTTCTCGCATAACACTCTGAGAAATTACGATGTATGACTTCATTAGAGTTGTGCATTAACAATCTGCCTAAGGACTTTCTAATAGAACTTCTGCAGGATTTCAATATTGGATTTGCTTGCACACCCCCACAGTTCAATGTCATAGGTCCAGATAGGTTTTAGAATTAGTTTATTCCTACTTTATACACTAATAATTTATTTTCTAGTGATAGTTCATATCTTCTTCAAAGTAGCCAGTAAAGTTGTCTTAATTTTAGTGCGAGTTGTTTTTGTTTATTAAAGATGTGGTTTCTCCAAGTCGTCTATGAAGATAAATAGGTATTTTGCACTATCGAATTGCTTTATATCTTGATTGTTTAGTTGTAAAAGTGGACATGTCAGACGTTTAGTTGTAAAAGTTACATTGTATGATTTACTTTCATTAAGTGTTGAAAAGGAACACTGATCAGAAGTGGGTAGGTCGGCTGTGTATTATATATATATATATATATATATATATATATATATATATATATATATATATATATATATAACACTGTTTTTGATGGGTTGGAGTCAATAAAAGGGGCTATTTGTTGACTATTTTTTACTCGAGCTTTCAATTGTAATTACAATTTTTATCAAGAGCTTCTAAAAAATACAAAATGTCTTACAAAGTTGAACTAGAAATAAAAAATTTTTTGTTAACTCACCAAATAAAATTAGTTTTTTATATAAAACTACTGCTTACATAATAAATACAAAAAATATTAATAAAAAAATGCCATATTCTAACAAATGTTTCTCTGAAAAATTTAGATGAAGTTTCTTAAGAAAAAAATTGAATTTATAAACAAAAATAGAATAGCTAAAACCAGCCTAAAATGTCATAAATACTAACTTAAAAATTTTTATTTTAGACATATTGTCAAAAATAAAATTTTGTTTAAAAAATTCTTCTTTGTTTAGTAACAAAAAAGAAGAAGATTTATTCACCATTGATAGATGCCCGAAAAAATGTAACAATCTTTTTTCTTACTCTTATATATATATATATATATATATATATATATATATATATATATATATATAAAGAGAGAGAGAGAGAGAAAGAGAGAAAGAGAAGAGTGGACCAAGCACACTACCTTGAGGTACGCCAGAGTTTCTAGGTCTATAACAGTATTGTAAAATTGAAATTGTTTATCACAGAAAGATTTTATCGACAACATTATCATGCGTTTTCTATTAGGTCTACAACAATTCTGAAATTATCAAATTAGAGAGAAACGCTTCTTCTTCTTAGGGTGCCTGTCCGATCCGAACGCTGACGATCATTCTGGCAATGATGACTTTGTTGGTTGCTATTCGAAATAGCTGTGTTGAGGTCTTTCTATACCATGCTCTCAGGTTAGCAAGACAGGATATTCTTTTTCGTCTTGAGGTCCATTTTCATAGACTGTGTTCATCCTCCGCAGTACTTCTTCAGCTTTGTCTGTCCGTGGTATCTTCAGGATCCTTCTGTATATCCATAGCTAAAAAGCCTAAAATTTTGATGGAGTTTTCGTCTTTAATGTCCACGTTTCTACTCCGTACAGAACATTTAAGAAGCCCTAGTTTTGTTTCTAGAGTGAGGTCATGGCTCTTGAACCAGAGCTCATAGTCAAGAATGCACTTTTTGCCTTTCTCTTGGGTATTGGCCCATGGCTCATTGATTGTAGTTACCAAGTAGTTGTATTGTGAGAGACGTACAATTCTCATTTGGTTCACATACAGATTAGCTCCAGTTATTTTTTCCTTGCTGATGATTAGTGCTGATGATAACTAGCTTGGTTTTTGCTGGTGTTTATATCCAGTCCATATGTTCTACTTGTTTAATGCTTATTTTTTTCAAATTAAATCAATACCAATTAAAAAAATCTGTTAAATATTGTAAAAAAGGTTTACAAACTACTGTGATTTTAAGCTTATAAACATTCAAAATAAATCAGACACATCCAAATATTAGAAATTCATTTTTTTTATTCGAAATGTCAACGAGTGGGACCAACCTGAGTTGGCCCTTTTTTTATTTCTCGATTTTACTATTTTTAAGACTGAAGTCACAAATTTAAGTTTATAAAATTCGCAATATCTCCGGATCCACGAAAATTGATGTTTTTTATTTAATTTGTGCTACATTCGGGTATAAGAATTCAGTTAATTTATGAATTATTTATTTAACCGAGTAATTTGTTAATTCGTTTAAACAATTTAAAATAAATGTTTTTTTTTGCAAAATTTTAATTTTCATTTATTATTCATTTGATTGATAAATTTAACAAAAAATTTCACAAAAGACCCACAGTATGCTAATTCAATTGTTTGGTATGTCATTTGTCTGTCTTCTATTTAATTTTTTTATTTTAGTTCAATATCAAGACATAGTTTTTATGTAGCTTAATATACTTTTGATAGAAAATGTATGACGCACCATTAATATTTCCTTTGTAACTTTATAAAAGAGAACAACAGTTACAAAGACGTGACAACGGAGAATATGTTGATAATATGATGCTAGTCAAAAAGTGGCCGCAAATATTTTTAATTCAATTAATAGTAATTCATTTTTGACAAAATTTTATTTCGTTTATTTATTTTTTAAATAAAATATGCTATTTATGACGTATATGCATGGTTTTATATCAAATTAAATCTAATTTCTTTCTTAATATGGTTATATGCGTTTGTCTGGAAAAAAAAATGGTCAAAAATTAGGATTGTCAGCTGTTAAAAACGCGAGGTATCAAAGAAAAAATAAAAGACAGCTAGCTCGCAACGCTACTGGTTTGAAGTGACCGTTGTGTGAGTTTTTAAAGCTTGAAAAGCATCGACGCATAATTAACATGCTTTATTTGTTTTTTAAAAGCTGAATATGCATAATATTGTCCTTATTCTTACGAGAAATTTAAACTTTTTTGTGTATTTTTAGAAAAGTTATTTATAATTTTTTAAAAATTGTCTTTGGAAGCTATAAATAAATAAATAACAATATAAGCTTTTAATGCATTAACTAAGCAACAAATTAACGAAAATAGCTTTAGAAACCTTTATTTTAACGGATTTTGCGCTCTTTCAGTAAAATCTTGTAGCTTTTCCATATAATTTACCAGTCTTCACCTTTGGTATTTAAAATCAAATAGTGATCTTACATTATGTATTGTAGGTATATTAGTACAAATAATGACGTTTAATCTGTTGCATGTTGTTTTGACCAAATTTATCAAAAGCAGTTATTAGATATCTGTATCAATTAGTGTCATCGTTAGTTCCCTGGCCTAAAACGGATATATACTTCTAGTTTTTAGCAATTTTAAATATTTTTTAATACACATGTTGATAATGACTAACTACTTGCAACAGAAATAACCTAGTTGTGATATTCATTAAAAAAACTGATAACAAATACTTAATAAAACTTCGACGATACACATTATAACCAAAATTCATGGCCTACATATTTAAAATTTAAAATATTTCTCTTCAAGAATTCAAGACCAACAAAGAAATACACACTTCTACTAGCAACAGGTCCTTCCTGTTCCCTTTCGTTATTCGAAAATAGATCTCAATCGTTCAGTGCAAAGATCTTTCTAAAAATAAGTTCGGACATGCTCCCACTATCCCACGTCACAATAAACAACTGTTTTTCCAATTTTCCTTATTCCCGTATTCTTAGAGAATAAATGTACGGTAGATTTCAAACTCAAATGATGTTACTGTTAATGTGGCAAAATTGAAACGTAGGTGTTTTTAAATCAGTTGATTGTTATAGTTGAAGTTTTGTAAGTAATAGTTGAAATAAACTTAAATTTATTGTTATGTTGGAAAATAGTCGATTGTTGATACTTTTGCAGTTTCTTGTAATTCTAGATTAGTTTTATTATTTTATAGTAGTTGGTATTGTGTTAATTCGTGCATTTACTTGTCACGTATACAATATCTAAAACAATATTGTCTCTTTACCAGATAGTATATTAGGATATTTGAGCTATATAGCTTTGTTATCCGATCCTTTCTGTGTTTTATGTTTTCTTCAGTAAAATTTTTACCGTCATTTATCAGTTTTTAACTATGCTCAGTTTTTAGACCATTCATAGCTTTCCAAGATTCTACCTTCTACCATTGAGTTTATTTCAGCTCATTTGCTTATTCATTAGTTGTTCTTCAGCTTTTAATTTCTCTTTTCTCTATGTAATTGTAATGGTTATATTTTTATGGGTGTTTCTTTGTCTTTTATGATTAACCACTTAAGATATATCTTCTTTTTTAATTACCAGTTGTAACACTTAATATGTTTTACAAGTGTTGTATTCTTCCTTTCGCTCCAAGTAGATCTAAAGCTAAAATTCTTCATAAATTGTATAATGTTTGCTTCTCCGCATTGTCAAACTTTGTTCGATTCCTTGGGGGGTTTGTCAAAGAATGTTTAACAATTTTTTGGTTTGTGCATTTAAATATAAAGAAAAATGTTTAATACTGATTGATACTGTGTTCACATTGGTTTTATCAGTTGTTTTGTTATCCTGGACAAGTTGATCATACCAATTAGTTTAAATTCTAAGAACTCTTTTGATGTATTCAATGTTGCTTTTTATGTTGGAGTGTGTATCAGTTTACTATATTCGATTTATATCTTCATTCTTTATGGTTATTTGATCTTGTAGGATTAGTAAATTAAGTATGATGTCTTCTTTCTTTTGTTTAGCGAGGACGAAAATTCTTTATTTTGTATTCTAGTATTTTTTCCATTTAGTTTTCACCTATATTTAACTATTATTAGATATTTAATAGAAAAAATTGGTACATACAGTTGTCAAATTGTAAGATCGTATTTTAATGTTTTCTTTTTTTTTTCAGTTAACAATGGCGAAAATATTGGATAGTAGTCCCAATGCGGCACTCAATAAATCGCTTCTACAGCATTACCTTACTCTGCCCATTCCAGACGGAAAATGCCAGGCTACCTATATTTGGATTGACGGATCAGGAGAAAATGTCAGATGCAAAACTAGGACTTTAGATTTTGTCCCAACATCACCGAAAGGTAAGGAACAGTTATAATTCCAGTGGATTAGTTGTTGTTTAAGACCATAACTTATAATCAAGAGAATCAACGCCACAAACAAATCAGAATCAATCAAGATTCTGATTGGTTTGTGATGTTTATATCATCTTGATTAAAAATATCCAAGATAAAATAGAGATTTTGGATATCGCTTAAAACTAGTCTTTATTTCTTCCATATATACCTACAGTATATATTTACTTTAAAGATTAAAAGTACATTCTAAAATCTTTCCACTTTTTTCACTTCTTTTGGACCTTCTGTTTTCTCAAAAGACTACTTCAAGGTCACTTAACTGATCAGCAACGACATTAAATCAAAGTAGCCTCTCATTATCTAGAGGCTACTCTAGACTGATTACCTCTGACGTAGACTACTTATTCCAGTTAGGAGATTGACTAGCTAATAGCAATTTTGCATATTATGAAATTCCATAGGACTGATATGGGAATTTTCATGATTTAGGTTTTCTTTTTTATAAACGACCTACAAATAGCGTATTTGGTTTAAACCTAATTTTAGAGCCTTTATTTATCCTACAAATTTATTAATGCGCATTCCCAGTGGGCTAAAACTCTTAAGTACTCACAAGGGCAAAGCAAAGCCTGCCGGTTTAGTAGTGCTTTCGATAACCGTTAAGGTCCTCTTTGGTTCCTGCGCAACTTTCATCGGCGCTAAGCTCAAATGTTTCTCTTTTTTACTGTTAAGCAAATCGGTTTCTTTTGGGCGGTGGTAAGAAAGTGGGCCTAATCGGGTTAATATTTTGGTCACCAGGCAACCAACTAAACTGCGTAATCCTTTTACATTTGAACTCTTTACCGCTTTTTATTGTGGACACGAACTCTAAGCTTTTTGATGAATTGGAATTATTTTTAATTTCGGTTTTTAGTTTTTCTGTGATAATGTTTCTTTTAATTTTTCGCTTCGTTTACGTAACCGCCACAAAGTGGTCGGTTTGTAGGACTCTGTAAAACCACAGCAATGATAGAATATTAGTACCTAGCAATTTTTATATTTTGTAACGTAGGTTTCGATTCCAGATATAACAATAATGTCCGCGTGTTTTACCAATCAACCAAACATTTTGTTTGTTTGTTTGTATTAATTGCGTAAACAATTTGATTATCAGCGCCTCTATTGGGTAACAAACCTTTTTATTAACGCTTAAAACCGAAGACATCGCCTCTAAAATCGATAACCTTTTATGAGCCACTATATTTCTTGATAATACCAAAACAGGTTCTGGGAAAATCTTTGGGGTTGGTGTTGGAAGAGAAATATTTGAAATATTAGAAGGTAAGAAGAGAATTAGAAGAAAATAGATGCTAAAGGACAAGAAAGAAATTGAGTTCATGATTTGGTCCACTGATTTTATTTGTGTGTCTTTTACTTACACACAGTGACTATACATTACTCAAATAATAAAATAACATCCCAAAACATGACTGGACGTTCCCAAAATGCCCGAAGCTTCATAACAGTAGCTGACACAAACCTTTTCATTTGCCTTCTACAAACTCTATGGTATTTTTGCGACCAACTTCGGCTAAATCTGGAATAATTAGAAACGACAGCTCGCCTCCAATTATGTTCAAGCCAACTGAAGTGAATTAAAGAAGATAAACTGTCGCCTGTGCAGCAGAGAAAGGTAGATTTTAAGTCACGTTTTTCAGTTTACAGCTCTTTGTTGTAGGCTTCTACAATCTAATCCTACAACTGGAGCAATAGTAGGTTGAAGACAATCTCATATTCATTATAAAAACTAAAAATCGATCGTCTATTGCTAGATCAATGACCAGATCTCCATCTATATTATTTTTACGGTTACTTTGATATTCCCCTTAATTACCTTTTTAGAAAAAAAGTTATTTCACATCATTTATATCCATTAGGAACATAATTCAATAATTAGGTACAATTCATACGGTTATGTTAGAAACATATCATCTATACAAATTTATCATAATATGGAATATAATAACTTTTTTTTATTTTTTGTAGTATCTATTTACAAATATTGTAAGAATACTCATCTATTTTAAATTTTATCAAAATTTTCCTTTCTAAATAAACAATATGAATCATTATACTGAAAATCATTCCGTATTCAAAGAATTTATGCGTGTATGGTGTAAATATATCAAACAAAGCGGTCACGTGAAAGACACGGAAATCCCACGACTACTTTCAATTTTCGTCCAGTTGGCGATCGTGCCAATTTGGATGACTACCAAAACTCAAGACCATGAAATTAAGAGTGAATGGGTCTAGGACACATGTCAATTAGTCAGGAAATTGAATGTTTGTGGTTTTTATTAGTACAGCATGTGTAAATACGAGGTGAATGAAGAAAATTACGCTAGAAGCGCAATTTTTCAGCTTAAAAATACTGGAACAGCTTAATTTATTTTTCAACTTTTCCATATTATAATAAAATTCGTTTGTTTTTTAGCGACATTTTAAAATTATGGTATCGTCGATATATACGGTTACGTTTTGCAGCAGTTTTTTTATCTATCCGTTAGTTAGTAGCCTTAATCATTTTTGTCCTTCTAACGGAGTGTCGTCTTTAAAGTACCCTCACATTTTCATTTCAAAAAATGAATTTCGAATTGGAATATTGTCATTGATTTTTTTAAAACACGAAATTTTTATACAGTTTTTGTATGTCTTCTTTGTAAAATTTTATGTTTGGTAATTGTCTCAATCTATTGATTAAAAAATTAGTTAATTTAAAAATGTGTCATTTTCATGTGCGCGTTCTCGTCCAATGTATAACCCAAATAAGCAGTTACAAAAGGGGTTATTTGTATCTCAGAAATAATAAAGGTTATAATCATTTAATTATTATTTTGTATTGTATTTGTTTAACAAATTTTTAAAGTAAAGTCATACCAATTAAAGTTAAAAAAAAATGATGAAATACAGCCCAATATATAAAAACTCAATCCTTTCTGAAATAAAAACTTTTATTTAATAATAGACACTTATTAACTAATCTACCTATTCCCAAACTTTCATCGTTAATTTTTTTTATGATGATTGGATTTTTGTTATATTTTCTCATATCTCTTCTATTAAATTATTTTTATTCTTAGTGACAGATGTTATTAATTTAATTTTTCTTTCCAGAACTACCAGTTTGGAACTTTGACGGAAGTTCGACAAATCAAGCAAAAGGACACAACTCCGACGTCTTCCTGTGCCCAGTAGCTATGTACAAAGATCCATTCCTCAGAGGAAACAACAAATTAGTCTTATGTGATACATACAAATACGATAGAACCCCCACGGAAACTAATCATAGAGTAACATGCCTGCAGGCCATGAGCGCAGCAAAAGAAGAAAAACCGTGGTTCGGAATCGAACAGGAATACACATTGTTAGATATGGACTTACGCCCTCTTGGCTGGCCCAAGCACGGTTTCCCAGGACCCCAAGGACCTTACTACTGTGGTGTTGGAGCTAACAAAGTATACGCCCGTGATATCGTCGAGGCACACTATAGGTGCTGTTTATATGCTGGTGTCACAATTTCCGGAACCAACGCTGAAGTTATGCCTGCACAGGTAAGATCCAAATTTATGTTTATTTTGCTTTTCCTACTAAATTCTTTAGAGATCATTTATTAGCTGTTTAATTTGGCGTTTCACTTTCGCACAGAGTTTTCTTATTATCTAGATAGTAAAAAATGTTGGTTATAAAATAATGGGAATTTATTGTTAATTTATGTTTGCAGATGTACATAAGAAACAATAGCAGCTCACAATAAAAAATGAATTGTAAGAAATTTTCATGTTAAAATTAAAATACAAAACATAAGCGGCATAATGTAAAAAGTGTGTTCATGTAAAAATTAATGAAAAATCAGCAGTCCCTACATTGTATTTGTGTTCGTAAAGCTATTAAAAATATATGAAATATATTATTTAAACTCTCACCAATTAACTCTTTTTATAATTTTGTCCAAACGGAAATTGTCACCATACAGATTTGATTGGTTCTCCTTCGAACACGTTTTTGGATCTCCTAAGTTTTATCATCAGATGGCACTACAGCTCTCTATGAGACTTCAACTAACCCAAAACATTCTTTTCTATCGAAACTCTTCCAATACTTTCAATTTTTACCACTAAGCCTAGGTTGTTTTTTTTTTCTTATTTTTTCAACATGCTTGTTTAGCATAGTTATTATTACTAGAGTCAGCTCTATACATCCAAATCAAGTCGACTACCTATCTCAGATAATTTATTTTTATAGTTTTGACGATATATGGTATACCAACATATCTATGTAGTTTAAAAGATTCGTAGTAGCTCTTCATCTAGCTTCGTTATTATCTATATTTTTTAAATTTAAGTAAGTACAAGCATAAAATAGGTATTTTATTGCCTTTGGGATACTTCTTGCCTGCCATTAGTTGAGAAGTTAGACCAAAGTAGCAGTGATTAGCCACCCTTATTTCTTTTTTGGGTTAATTTGGCCAATATTTTTGGTGATGGACTAAAAACAGATTTAATTGCGACCTATTAGTACCATAATTAATTGATTGAAAACATGAAGTCACTACAGGAAGAAATAAATCGTAGATGTGATCTAGCAAAAGTCGTCGTAGGAAAGATGTCCAAAATATGGGAGCACTCTTAAATTTTACAAGCTCTAAAAAGAAGGTTGATCAACTGCTTAATATTTCTAGTAATAAAATACAGATGTGAATATTGGACCCTATGACAAGCGGAAAGTAGAAAGATATACGCCACTGAAGTGTTGTGTTGGAGAAGAATGTTACGAATTTCCTGGAGTGATGACTGGACAAATAATTAAATTTTAAATGAACTCAAGGTCAGCAAACAGCTCTCCGGTAAAGTTCATCTCTAACAATTGAAATATTTAGGACATCTTCTGATGTTATGTTGCAGCAAACATGGAAATACTTAATTATCCAAGAAAAGGTAGAAAACCGAATATCATGAGGAATATCTCCAACAAGACCGATAAACTAAAATAGGGGAATATGCAAAAGACTTGTGCATGAGTTAAAAGAAATGGCCAGAGAAAAACATCTTTGAAGACAGACAAAATACGACATCACGATGATCACTACACTTCCTACGGGGGTCAGGACTGAGTAGAGAGTACAATTATGGCTGCTTTAAAGTCCAAGAAGATCTATTTCTATGTCATTTAACGGATTGCAAATATGTAATTATTGGTAGCATAGAACCATATTATAATGTGCTATATTAAGAAGTAAAAAACCTTTATTTGTATCAATCTATCACATTGTCTTTTTTATTTATCTAGGGACATTTAAGACACTTTATGAATGGGCTCATGTTGGCCTATCTTCTGCTGATCATCACGTTTTAAGATGCTTCGAAATTTATAAATATTTTGGTTTCAGTTTAACAATAACTTACTTTTTCATATCTGCTTTATTCTTATTAAGGGCAGGTGGGTTTATAAGGCTACTGTTAAAAAATATTTCAGGTATCCTTAATAAGCATGTTTAATGGTATATGGCTTTAAAATAGCTTTCTAGGTTATTGAGTCTATCGTTTGCTACAAAACCTATACCAAAGACTTGATGCTAAGTTTGATGAAAGTTGCAATAAATGGCGTCATATTCTACGATCTATCGCTTTAAAACATTGTAAGTTACTGATTATTATCTCTGTAATGGCACTATAGCCCAAATCGAGCACTGACCTTCTTTATCACTTTATCCTCTCACCTTTTCCGTGGCCTTCCTATTGATTCTGTGTCCCGCATTTTACTGTCTAGGGCTCTTTTCAGCAATCGTTTAGCCTTCATTCTCTTTAACGAATTCTGATATTGGCGATTCTTTGAACAGTTGATAGAATTCATGGTTGTACCTGGATGATAATACTTTTATAGACACTGTTTTGCGATCTGCAGGGTGTGTTTTTGGAGGGGAACACATGGGCGAGTAAAAAATAAGCTTTCTTTTATTTTCTATTATAATTTAAAGTTCTGCTCTTTCTGTTCCATTTATGCTTAATGCAACTCCCAGATATATGACACTTTCTAGTTTCAGTATCGTCCTCTAATTCAACTGTGCATCTGATTTCCCTAGCTCTTGCCTGTGTTAGCTGTTTTGTCTTTTGGGTATTTATTTTTACTTCCATCGTTTTTGCACCTTTTTTTATAATTGTGAATATATTTCTGCCACCTCTTCCGTTCTGCAGGAGCCGATGCTGATGTCATCGGCATAGGCGGCAATCTGTATTGATTTATTTAGGAGATACACCATATATGAGCTGCTTCGTTTGATGATAACTACAGCTAATGGTGTCTAACTTCTTCTGGAATGATCCTGTACCTTTCTATCGTATTCATTGTATAGCTATGAGGTCCACACTAATTTTTTTGCGCATACGGGGACAACAATGTCAGCTGCATACAACATAATAGTTCAGTATGTCTATCTATAGGGATCCCGCGGCAGCTTTTATCTTTGAAGCAATACTCTATATCAGACAGAAACATTGAGAATAAAAGAAGGCTTAATAGTTCTTCCTAGAGAACTCCTGATTCGACGAAAAATGGCGATGTATCAGAGTCATTAGTTCGGACGCGTGTGGTGGCATTTGCGTAAAAGTTTTGCAATAAACAAACAACACGTGAACTGGCTTCACAGGTATACGACGAATGCCGGATTAAAGAGGGGTTAACTTTATTAAATGCACATTTAAAGAAATATGTCGAAAACCTTACGTTTTTGCTAAGTAAAAGCTGAGTTATATTTGGAAAAACTCCGTCGAATGCCTATTTTGCAATTGTTTTTCATGAAATTTGTTATAACTTCGGTTCTAATAATCAGATAAGAGCTAACTAAACACTATTTTGTTAATTTTTTCACAAACAACAATTTTCTTAGTAAAATCTTAGTAAAATTAATAAGTGTATCTAATAGTTTAGGAGATACAATCATTTAAACAATTAAAATGATAATAACACATAAACTGATGGGTTTTTAGCCTGGTACCCTTGAAAAATATATTCAACACACCAGGAAAACATAAAAAAAACGTTTAGGTACTTATTCTTCTTAATGTGCCCTATCCCTAAAGACATTGACGATCTACATGGCCCATTTGAATCTCTCTGCAGCCGCTCTGAAACGTTCTATTGACGTTTTTCCACTCCATTATCTCAGATTCTTCAACCAGGACGTGCGTCTTCTCCCCGGTCCTCTTTGGCCTTCCACCTTTCCTTGTATGACCAGCCGCATCAATTCGTATTTCTCATTTCTTAGTATGTGACCAACGTAGCTCAGTTAAGGTACTGAGGGGACGTAAAAACGCATACTCAACCCCTCCCCCCCTCTGACTCCTAGACTATCTCCTTGTGCTAGAATAATAAAACATATACATTTTATACGTATACCCCTGCATCCGCTAATTTTTTTTGTTTACGTGACTCTCCTACTATAATTATCTTTAAAAACAATAACAAAAATATTTACAAAAATTTACTGTAGGAAGTATACGTGTAAATCTCATAATTTATTTTTAAATGACTCACATCCAAAATGTTTCGTGGGAAATTCCGTCGTTTTATGTTTTTTAAGTTTTATTTTCTAGCAGAAAGGTATTAAATAGAACACACGTGCCATTTTTAGAGGTCAATAGCCACATGTGTATTTGCTGATAAAAATTGTAGAAATGTTTTATCAAAATTGAATTTTATGTTTTGTATAAACTTCAAAGTTTTGTACAAAGTACGAACTTTTATCAAGAAAGAACGTTAACCCTTTAATTTTGAAAATGAAAATATAATAATGTGTAAAGTATTTAAATTAAATAAAATAAATTAAACAAATTAAGTCTAGCAACAATTAAAATCTAGGATTATAACTTAGAGTAGATTTGTACTAATTATATTGGAAAATAAAAAAGTAAAGGTCACTTTTTATAATACATTGTGATTCCCCAATTTATAATCGTTTTGTGTTATATAATTTTACAATATTTACGGAATTATTCGTACCATGCGGTATGGTTATTTTACCGATTTTTTGTTAAAATTTAAATTATCGCCAAAAATGTATCTGTTTTTAAGTAGACCTTTATTTGTTATTTCATTATCTGAGCCTTTTTAGCACGACGCACTAATATATTATCTTCGGGCGATTTTCTACTGGTTTCATTTCCTACATCCTCAGCAGATCTAAAAACAAAAATTTTGTTTTACCGAACTATGTCGCAACAGGAAGTGTATTGTTGGTAGGTAATGTAAAATCAACACCAGAGTCCTTTTGATGATATAATAATACTTTGGTTGCAAACCTTGAGGTCTCTGTACCTGTATAGTCCTATTTCCAAATATATTAGTGTCCCTAACCTTGATAATAGCTGACTGATCTTTAAATAATACTTCTCATATGGTAAAATTTCTTCCCCTTGCGATATTATTAATTGTTGTTCTTGTACCAATGTTAAAAATAATGTAGAAGCAACTACTCTATTAAAAACTCCCAAAACATCTTTAATTATATCATATCACTTGTTTAATGCCAAAAACCGTGGCACTTTTAAATCTGAAG